TTGGAAATTTTTTCGGAAAAATTTTTGATAATTTAGGTTCCTCGTTTAGAAATATCTTTTGAATTTTTATAAGTCAATGAGCGTAAATTATAAAATAAATTGTATTTAGACAAATTAGATAGAAAAACGAAATTTAAAATGATTGTACAGAATTGAACTGATTGTATGTATGTATTACATGATGTTGTACAGTCAAGACTTTGTACAAGTAGTCTGTGCTTTGTACTATATACTTTGGACTGTTCTTCTCGTTAGCGGCATAGAGTTGGATTTAAATCTTAAGTGTCAAGCTTGACAAGTCGTCAGGCGACCTCTTTTTTTTTTTTTTTCCATCTTCTAAGGTAAATAGACCTTCACCGGAACCAGTGCCCGCCGAAGGCGGCAAGCTGCCCGATATAAATAGCTTAGACTATTCCTTTATTATTTCCATCCTCTAAGGTAAATAGTGAGAAAATCTGTGTTAACCAAAAATATTTTACACAATCAAAACTTCGTTACGACGCGAACTAATTTACGTATTTTATAAACTATTCTTATAAGCCTCGCTTTTAAATTAATAAATAACCTTTGTTCAAATAAATACGTTAAAATAATTAATAATAACAACACCAAATCAATGTTTATTTGTGAGAAATGAAAGGAAAAACTTTTTTAAATAATAATAAAAATTGCAACACCGTGCAAACATTACTTCATTAAATTATCTAATTTACACTGCATCTGCTAGAGATGACGTGCATTCATTGACGTGCATCAATAAAAGTTTTCGATAATGTAATGACTAAATGTATAGTCCGCACTATACATTTAGTCATAAAATTATTCGTTCAGTATAAATTTTAATCATAGATAATGAACTAATATGTCAGTGTTATTACTTTTCTGAAACCTTTTTAAATAATGACGAAATAAATGCTCTTTATTTTTATTTTTCTAAAATATCTATTGAAATTACATATTTTGAATTATGATTGTGTGTTTTATACCTTCAATATAATACAAAAACACTTCAGACATCTATATCGTTCAGAATACGTAAGAAAAATAAAATTATAAGAGAATCTTTGCTTCAAAAATCAATTACACTAAAAATCTATTGATCGTCAACATATGAGCTAGGGAGATGGGGAAAAGCGTTACATTCGTATCATATTGACTATCGGTCCAGTTAAAAAAACCACAGCGACAAATCACCGCGATTTTATCACATTTGTCACGTATATCCAATTCTAATTTCAATTTCTTTATAATGGCTCCACATCGATTTTCACGATGTTGCCAATGTCAGTGTTCAAAAAAACACTATATAGGTACGGTTGGATAGTAGATTCGTTGGGTATTGTGGGAGCGTAGCCTTGGTTATAGCGCAGTGAGAGGTACTATTTAATATTAAACGACGAATTTAAAATAAATTGTCACAGAGATCATTCTAGTTTGCGTTTAGTATAGTTTGCAGCCGAAGTCGATAGAAGCGACCTGTATGAATGCGTTATTAGATCCTGGGGTAAGAAATAATGATGATCTTAGAAAATCAGTTTTTGGAATCAGAAAATACCAAAATTAACCGCATTACGATAGATATTACTTATTGAACATTGGCTAAAAAGTAAGCAGCTTAAAAGGGTAATAAATAATTAAGAAACCCAAAACGTAAATTATAAGTTAATTTGCATGTAACCCGTGACTACAAAAAAAAAACCTGAAAAATATTAGTAAAAAAAATAGATGGTTTTGCATTTTTAAATCATACATGTACTCTTTGAAATCGATTTCTACTACTACGATTATCATAAAAGTGAAATCGATTACTACCAACGAAATCGATTACATTTTTATGATAGTCGAAGAGGAATAACATCTCTATATTCGCCATTTTTGTCCCGCATTGAGTACGTGCGTTTGGTCTTGGTGAGTTAAAAATATTTTTTTAATCCTTGTAAATCATGGAGTTTAGCATATTCTCCTCACAGAATCATCTAAAATATATAATGCGTAAACCGAATATACCTCCATTTCATTGCATTTTTTAGTTAGGGTGAACACAGTGATGTGTCATTTTCAAGTTTTTAACTTTCTTTCAGTCCTTAAATTTCTTTGAAGTCCCTACTACACTCACCAAGATGGGTAGGGAGGACAAGGCTACCTGGAAGTCTAACTACTTTACCAAGATTATCGTAAGTATTTTAAGATTACTAAGTTAACCTTACAGTCACGCCAGTTAACCTTTTTCGAACCGTGATTGAAAAAGTTTCAATTTTACATTGTAAGTTACAATGCAAAATTTTACCTACCTGTAGGTAAACTTTGTTCGTCAGAAATAGCAATCTTTTACGCTGACTACTGATCCACTTATTTTTATGATTGGGAAGCTTGGCAAATGAAATTTTGTCAATTTATGATTTGATGTTAATTTGTAAATGTTAACATTATCGAATGTTTTTGTAGCAATTGCTAGACGAGTACCCAAAATGCTTCCTCGTGGGTGCGGACAACGTCGGTTCGACGCAGATGCAGCAGATTCGCATGGCCCTCCGCGGCAGCAGCATCATCCTCATGGGCAAGAATACCATGATGCGTAAGGCCATCAAGGATCATCTGGAGACCAACCCAGCTCTCGAGAAGCTGCTTCCCCACATCAAGGGCAATGTCGGTTTTGTCTTCACCCGTGGTGACCTTGTTGAGGTAAGTTAGAACTTACTTTATACATTGTTAAAATAAATAAGTACCAATATATGAACACTTAAAGATTTGTGAAGTTAAAGGTCTAAGTACAACAAAATTTCTTAAAATCGGACCAAGGTAATGTGTATAAATTGTAATATTTATGTGCTAACAGGTCCGTGATAAGCTACTGGAGAACAAAGTGCGTGCACCAGCTCGTCCTGGTGCTATAGCTCCATTGTCTGTTGTCATCCCGGCCCACAATACTGGTCTGGGACCTGAGAAGACCTCTTTCTTCCAGGCTCTGTCTATCCCCACCAAGATTTCCAAGGGTGAGAAAATATTTCTGTTGACCTTAATTGAGGAGCATCAAGTCAAAACAAAAACTGCTAAATCACATTTTCACTTTTTCTATTTTTGTAATACTAAATGGCAGTTTTCATATATTTCTAATAATGTGTATCCAACCTGTACAACAACTAAATCCTCTTTAAAAATATATTTTAAATGCACAGACCTTACCATAATGGTACAGATGACAGCACATCAAGCTATCACATTGATGGATGTTGTTCTGTCGTTTTGGAGGTAAGATTCGACCAAAAGTGTATAGCTTGATGTGCTGTTGACTGTACAAATCTATTCAATGAAACTTGACAATTAGTATTGGAATTCATCAGATTTTTTCTGAAGACCCTCAATTGTAATGCCAGAATTGGATCAATACACTTATTTCCATTTTAGTTCTTAATCTTCTTGAAAACAAATTGTAATAAAACTTATAAACAATAATGTCTGTTTTAATACCAATGGGTTTAATGTTAGCCCTTTGGCTTCGCTTTCAGACTAAATTAACTCTTCAAACCTATCCTAGTATGGTTGTTGTATTCACAACTGCACTGGTATCTTGAAGATACAAATTACATACTATTAAACTACAAAATGTTGTATTTACGTGCATATAAGCTCTATTTTTAAAGATTTGTTTTACTGTGTTTACATAGGTACTATTGAAATCATCAATGATGTCCATATCCTGAAGCCGGGAGATAAGGTGGGAGCTTCAGAAGCGACTCTACTGAACATGTTGAACATTTCTCCATTCTCGTACGGTCTGGTTGTTAGGCAGGTACGTAACAATATCCATTTCGTTACAATTTCTTTTTTTTTTACCCAAAGCATTGAGTACAGATTGCATTCACTGTGCACTCTGATAATTTATCTTTGGTAAATTAAATGGCATTTGGAACAATCCGTTCAACTTTCCATGTTGTTTGTCAATCCACTTGCAAACATTAATTCAAATAAAGTAATTCTGTAAATCTATATTATTGATGTTTTTATTTCTGTGAACTAGTACCGTACCACCACTCCACCGTAGCGACATCTGTGAGAGAATCTTTGAATGGTGTTGAAACCCAAAAATCAATGTAAAGATCTATAACCGACACAGAAGAAATTCATAGTAACTCGACCTGTACCTTAGTTGGTAAAACACTAGGGGCAGAATGCCGTGCTTCGAGTCCTGTCGGGTTGAAAGATTTTTTTCTATGTGCTCCATCTTTGTATTTAATAAATAACAAACTCGTGCAGTTATAAAAATAAAAACACAATAATATATGTTCATAAAAAGCAACATCAACAACAGCTTGTGGTAACTGGAAGGTTCAGCTGAGTTAGAAGTTTTATAAAATCTCTCACAGATGGCACTACTCCATCGAAAGCTCGACACAGAGGTCTATATCAGACACAGAAGAAATTTGTCGATTTAGTAACTCGACCTGTACCTTAGTTGGTAAAGCAATGGATGGAGTCATGTGGTCGCAGGTTCGAGTCCTGTCGGGTCGAAGGTTTTATTCTTTGTTTTCGATCTTTGTATTTAATAATTATAACAAACTCTGTGAATCTGTTTTACAAATCTGTTAATAGTGTATTTTGTTAGGTGTATGACTCTGGCACCATCTTCACGCCAGCGATTCTGGACATTAAGCCGGAGGATCTGCGCGCCAAGTTCCAAGAAGGTGTGGCCAATGTAGCAGCTGTTTCGCTTGCCATTGGCTATCCCACAGTTGCCTCTGCTCCACACTCCATTGCCAACGGATTCAAGAACCTGCTGGCCATCGCCGCGGTTACTGAGGTGGAATTCAAGGAAGCTACCACAATCAAGGAATTCATTAAGGTAAAGTTTCATATTTTTGGAAACCAAAAGCAGAAATTGAATAAGCACTGGGTTTAGAAATGTATAAAATTTCGTATTTCATTCGGAATTTTTGGTGATCTTCGAACTAAAGATTTTTGAGGCCCTATTCACAACGCCAAAAACATCGCCTGGCTGTGGTTATGTTTGAACAATATCGCAGAAGTTTCTTGAAGTCCAGTTGAGCGACAACCATTTAAAGCGATGCAAATTCTAGTAGCGTGAATTGGCTACTACATGCTATCATACAAATTTGCTTACATGCACTAGTCAGACCACAAAAATGGTTTGTAAGTGTGAACAGAACCTAACCTACCCGTAGTCGTTCATGTCTGTCTAATAGCCGCGAGAATTGTTGCGTAATTTTAGCTCTTTAACATCGCTTTTGTACTAGACAAAATTGTTAAATTTATCGTAACGTATACAGGTGAATTTTTAGTCATCGTCCAAACTTTCATATTATGATCTTTAGTGAAAATATAACATGCGCAAATTTTCCTTTTAGTGTAAATGAATGCTAAAAAAAATATTTTTTTTTTTTTTTTTCATTTTTTAATATATCTGCCATATAAGTGCTTTTTTCGTTGAAAATAGCTGCCGAATGAGACTCGCTCTGTTTCAGCTAAAAATTGGCATGTGGAGGCCTCTAGAAGTGCCAAATAATAATTTGTGCTCAAAATTGGTGTTTCGCCATTTTCAAATATGGCCGCCATACAAGCGTTTGTAGGCAGTAGAAAAAAAAATTGTTTTAATCCCGTCCAAAATTGTCATGTGGGAGTCTCTAGGAGTGCTTGATAATAATTTGTGATCAGCATTAGTTTACCGCCATTTTTCAATACTTGAAAATCGGGCTCTAAATAATAATTTCAGAATTTATTTTTAGCCAGTTTTCAATATGGCTGCCCAATATTTACTCTAATTCAGCTGAAAATATGTGGGGGAGATCCCCACATAGAGATTATGGCTGTCTAATAATAATTTGCGGTTAAAAATTACTTTGTCATTTTTCAATATGGCTGCCTTACAAACTTTATTAGCGGATGATAAAAATTTGCTCTAATTCTACTGAAATTAGGCATGTGGCATTCTCTATGGGTGTTTAACAATAATTTGCAGTCAAAATTTACTTTTCGCCATTTGTCGATATGGCCGCCCATTTATGTTAATTCTTTTAAAGTCACAAGTGCCGAGGTCTAGCGGAGGGCGAAGCGTCCGCACGCCACTTTACGCAGGCAGTATACAGAGACTAAATTACGAGTACAAGATTTCACAATTGTTCAAAATGAGAGGCATACTTCCCCATGAAGTGGAAATAAAATACTTATAGCATTCTCGACCATCTCCCTGTTAGATTGTTTTTTCTTGGAACATATGCCAAAAAGAGAAGTATTAAGGGAAAAAATGCCAGACAATCACTCCAAATTTCTGGTCTCAAACTGGGACTTCCCTGTAGTATGAGTGAGTACCAGTGTAACGATAATTCTGAGGACAATGCCCAGAATACCCTGACCAGAACTTTTTTTTTTTTTTTTTTTTTCATAAATTGGCTCAAAACAGCGATCGAATCTGAAACCTCCTCATCAAGCGCCCATAGTACTAATCACTGTGCCACCGACGAGCATAACCACACCCCGTAATCTGAAACCGACCAAGCGCCGCAGGCCGAGCCCGGCCCCACCGTAGGTGGGGTATAGAGCTCGTATTATAATAAAGATAATAAAAAATACTAAAATGTTTAGTAGCAGTAGAACTCCTTGTAAAAGAGTTCGGTGTTGAGTAAGATGCTGGTGAAATTACAGCCACATGGGACTTGTCAACTTATGTCTCTGGGTGACGGGCGCCGTGGTAGTGCCCCTTAGATCTTTGCAATTTAAAGCTCTGAGTGGCGCTGTAACTGCTATGGACAGGCGTGATCTTACCATCAGGTGCACAACTTGTTCGTCCCGACACTTGATGTTACAAAAAAAATTGCATTTCAAGTCCATAATTTTGTATTCTGATATTTGTAGGATCCATCAAAGTTCGTGGCTGCAGCCGCTGTGTCTGCCCCTGCTGCTGCCGCCCCGGCTGCCGCTAAGGCTGAGGAAAAGAAGGAGGAGAAAGAAGAATCCGAGAGCGACGACGACATGGGCTTCGGTCTGTTCGACTAAGTCCGCACTTGCCGCGTAGCGCACCAACACCGCCGGGCTGGACACCCAATGGCGGTCGGCGCGATACATCGCGAGTTCATGTCAATAAATACGTCTTGAAATAACTGCCTTTTTTATTTTAACGGGCACCTTTTTCAAACATTATTTTTCTATCCCATCAATGAATTGCTTAATTTGGTGGAAATTAAGCAATAATCTGAGAAATAAGACAAAATGTGTTGAGATTTCAGATGCACACGCATCTTTACGAATCCTGACATATTTGATACCAAAAAAATGTACCAAAATTGTACTATTTAGTACTTATTGTTAAAAAAATTGTACCTCTATAATAACGAAGTTATAGCGAAAGCAAAATTGTAAATATTTTTGTAATTTTAGTGGCCGTCTTAAGGCACAGAGTACTAAAAAAAACGACCTCAAAAGTCACCCATCCCGTAGTCTGCCACCTTAAAGGGCTATCCACACCATGGACGTATTATCCACACATCCGGGACGTAGACGGGCCCTGCTCCGTCAGGGGCTCAAAAAATTTTGAATGAACTCGTTCACACATGTCCGGGACGGGCCCGCAGTTCATACAAACGCACGGCCCGGATATGTGTGGATAGTCCTTTATACGTGGAATATTTTTTTAAATTAAAAATATTGTTGTTTTCGTCGAAATTGAAACATGACAAGGGTTCATATACACGTGAGCAATAAATGTAAGAGAAAGGCACTCTAGGAGACCATATACTTTAGGAAGGTAATGAAATGTATCTGGATGGTAATGGGTGTGTGTGGAATCTAATGATATTTACCAATTGTATTATGAAAATATGACCTAATGGTAATGAGTGCTTGTAGAAAGTAATGATATTTTTATGAGTGAAAAGAGTGAATGTATGAATAATAAAATTCATCATAATTTCATAAATAAATTTTAGAAAAAATTGGGTTTATCTATGTATAGTTGTCACAACAACTGATATGGAACAAACTACGTAGAAATATAAATTTATGAAAAGAAAGAGAATCATATCAATCAAATCAAACCAGTCTAGTTTATTCAAAATAAAAAATGTAGGTAACATCTTAAAAACATCAAAATATGCAAATAATAAATTTAATTAATTAAAATTCTAATTTATATTCTTTCTATTATCCAACAACTTGACTTAAAGAAATAATCATTTATAAGTTATTTTGTCGGGTCGTCATATAAATTTCGGGACAATTCCTTTCAGAAGGCGCGTAAACACAGCGATCAATTTATCGTTTGGTAGTTTAGAATGGGAGAGTCATTGACTTACAAGGGAGAGTAATGAGATTTGACATCGTTTTTTCTTAACCACTCGGAATTATAGGAAGTAGACCTAGGCCGTAAAAGACTCCCCAGTCATTTCCTGTGTATGGCCTTCTCCCATATAAAGTTTTTTTAAATTTACTATATTTCTACCGATTTGCAGCGTGGAATGGCGATTATAACGACTCGCGAGAATTAACCTAGAAATACATTTAGGTAGTATTTTGTTTGCCTTCCTTCCGAACTTTTAGGAATTGGTATCAGACGGTAGATGGGTTTACATAGTGTGTGATCGGGACTGCGGTGTGCTAAGCAAGGGCGGCTTTACACTTAGCTTATACGGCTGTGATGTGGATCGGAACTGAGACCTCGGGGAGGAATTACACAGTGTGTGATGGGGACAGCTTACTGAACAAGTGTTTGCTGGATGTCAACTCTAAACTGCGCGCTGTCCTGTGTCCTTCTTGGCATTTTATACCACGTGTTGGCTGACAACATGTAGGAACATATAGGACTTAGTGAAAATCTTGTTTTCCTGAACAAACATTTTTTCAATATTTTTCCAATACTTTCTAAAACATTAGTGCGTACGGAGGAGGAAGGCCTGTTCCTGGCAGTGACATTGCGATGCCTTACTTCAATGATATTATGTGTCTTTGGACACATAAATTATTTATGCTCACTGCCTTACTTTCTCAAACTCGTATCTTAAAGAGTGAAGATTATTCAGGAGATGGCAAAACTTTCTATTTATTTTAAATTTCTTATGAAGGGTGTTAATTTGGATGCATTACTCTAAGGATACGTAAAAGCCAGTGTGTGAATATGAAGGAAATGTGATGTGAAATCGGCCAGCAAAATTTGTATATATACCTACCGTCCATTTCGCATTTCAGTAACTTTATGCTTAAGAAACGAGTCAACGAGACTAAGTACGCACAAGTCGTATAATTTCCATGTTATAAAGTTTTTAGTAGCAGTAGTTTTTAGCAGCTTGTGAAATAGTTTGTCCAGGAAAGTACAGCCAATTTACGTATTTCTGCCGCCAAGCAGTAATGTGAACTTCATTGCATTGAAAAAAGATACGAGTTTAAGAAAGTTAGGCGACAATTTGGCAGTTTGAGAATCTGACATTCTGAGAAGCTGGCATTTTGCTAATCTGGTATTCTGCTAATCTGACATTTTGCCCGTTTGGCATTTTGCGTTTCTGGCTTAGAGCGTCAAAACTATTTTTTTCCATCCTCTAAGGTCAAAACGGTACAAGGCACTTCCATTGTTTTTCTTCCGTGATATATGACCATATTGTGACTGTGGTGAAGTTCAATCTTTCTAATTTTTGGGAGGAAGTTATTGTAATGTGAACGAAGCATAAGTTTTGACGTCTCGTTTTACGAATTTATTCCACGATTTTTTAATTTTTGCGAAAACAAGTTTAGTTTTTAAAGAAGACAGAAAGCAATATTTGTACGGTGAGTGCTTGTAAAAGCAATTTATTCGAATCGATTGAGAAAACTTAAAACTCAAGCTTGAAACGAAACGCAAATTTAAAATCAATACTTCTGCACATGTCAAGGAAACTAAAATTTTGCTTGTTATTATTTTGCATATAGGTATATTCAGAGATTTCTGCTTTTAGTAAAACACAAAACCGTGTTCTATCATTGTCCGAGCTGGTATATTGTGTTATTCCTTGACAGTATAAGTTTCATGTTTTTGTAAGAAAAGAACGCAAGGTGTTGGGGTGGTAAGTATTTCTTAAAATTTTGTATATGCATAGATAATATATTCTCCTATAGATTCATTTTGTGTTCGTGGGCGTTAAATAATTTAGTCCGAACGTTTCAGGCAAAATGGACCACATTGCGAGCCAATACGTAACTTATGCACGTCAATTGACCAGGAATGGCTGCTTTAACAAAGCTTTTGACTTCTACATCGCGGCCTTTGATAAAAACCCGCAGTTAAAGGCTCATTCGGAGTCGGAGTTCCGCAAGGTTCTCATCCAGCTGAATGAAGTCATGGCCATGAACAATCGCATTGAGGAAATTTTCAACAATTTTGGTCGAGCTTTGAAGGCGTTTCCTGAAAATACCCACCTGTTGAACGATATTGGGAAATATCTCTACAAATTTGGATTGTACACTGAAGCCTGGTGTCATTTCCAGAGAGCCTTGAAACTTGATTCGGGTTTTGTCAATCCTGAAAAAAACTTGAATTCAATAAAGAATCTTCTTGTTGAAAGATGGCACTTTAGGATGCTTAATGATAAAATCAGGAATGAGTCATACCGGCAAGCAATCCGTGCATCAGTGATTCCACGCAAGGATACAGTACTTGACTTGGGCACTGGAACTGGCCTATTGGCTCTGTATGCTGCAGAATGTTGCCCTACAGCAGTCACTGCTTGTGACGGATCTGAAGTAATGTCTAAGCTAGCTGACACTATCATTGAAGAAAATAATACAAACACACCAGTCTTAGTTGTGAACAATATGTCTACTGATATGGTCTGGCGGGACATTGGTGGCAAGCGTTCTTTGCTGGTTACAGAAATGTTTGATGCTGGCCTTTTCGGGGAGCATGTGCTACAGTCCTTGCTACATGCCAAGCAACAGCTCATTACAGATGAAGCCAGAGTTGTGCCTAACAAGGGTGAGTTCTTTGTCATTGGTGCTAAAAGTGATCATTTGAATCTAAAATATCAGCTGTCTTCAATTGTAAAGAAGACATTGAATGTGGCAGGACTGAATGTTCATGCATTGATTGAGGATGAAACTTACGATTGTGAGGATATACACCTAATCAAAGATTTGGAGTACATGACCGAACCTCAGTCAGTTGTACAAGTCGATTTCAGAGACTATAATGATATGCAGGACAAATTGAACAGATCGGAGCCCTTTCACATTGAATTGAAAGCACTGAAGAAAGGTGAGGTTAATGTGCTCATTGGATTTTTTAAACTTTATTTGACAGAGAACATTACTATAACTACTGATCCTCGCTCTGACAACAGAGCAAATGCTTGGCAGCAGGCCGTGTTCTTTGATTTCCTCACACATACTGTGGAAGAGAACCAAGCTATAAATTTGAAAATCTTGATGAACAGAGGCAAACTGACCTTGGTGCCAAAACCTAACACTCAAATCTTGCGAGTTTCACCTGAAACTATAAGATTTTTAAATGATCCTGAGTATATAAAAATGATAACTCTATGCCTAGGAATGGCTTCTGTGTATGTGGGGCAAATGACAGAAATGTCCCAGGTGACTATGGTGGACTTGTGTCCATTTCCTATGTTTGGCTTATTGATGCTCAAACGAGGAATCCAGACACTAACATGCTGGGCCAAAACTGAAGGTGACAAGAAGTTTTTCAAAAAAGTTTTCAAGGCAAACAAGATCCCCATGTCCAAGATAAATTTGCTTATTGGCGATGATTGGACTCAAGATGTTTTCAGGGATGAAAAGTTCCATGCAATTTTTTGCAACATTTTTGAATTGTGCGGCGATATAGACTTGCGCATGCGGGAGATAGCCCAACACTTGAAGCACGCGAATTTAGTGCATGGAGGCTTGTTCATGCCATCAAACATCAACATTGTTGCACAAATAGTACACAGTTCCTGGCTGGATATAAACAATCGTATTTATGACTGTAATATAAGCAATTACAAGGTGGCAAAGCACATGAACAAATATCAGGTCTCCCAAAACTTCTGTATTGATTATTCCTGCTTAGAATACACGGCATTGTCAGAACCCACAATACTTGGCAGATATGCCAATGGTGTTAGAACAGGAGGTGTATTAGTGCCAATTAAAAAGGATGGGGAAGCAAACGCAATTCTCTGCTCATACAACATAGAGATCATGGAAGGCCTTGGAGAGGTGTGCACAAGCAGGGGCAACAGTTTTATAGATGGTGCAGTGTTTCTGACAAGCCAGCATATACGCATGACCCATGGCCATCTAGTCCAAGTATCCCGGTGCATTGATTCAGATGGAGCATTCAAGTTGATGATTGATACTAGTTAAATTCATTATCACTCTTTTGTCACTATTTGTGAAGTAATAATGAAGTCTTAGACCCAGTTTTATTTATGTCGATGTATTTAGTACGGCAAGATGATTTTGGGTCACTTACGTACACAGACGTATGTGAAAATAATTAGAGCTTATTTTGACTAGACAATTGTAATGTTCACATTATGCAACTGTGGCCAAGTAGATGCCAACTGACTGAAATGTTGTTGATGACGGAAAATCGAGAAGTGCTAAACGATAAGAGAAATGAGATCTTTGTATTTTTGTACACAGAGAAAACATGCTATGGTCTCTATTTTCGGAACAAATAAATTGAAAACCCTTATCGAGACTGAGAATATCTCAAGACTTGGGAAGGTGTGGTTTATGTGAACAATTTTCAGATAAATCATTCTACTGATAAATTTCTGTATACAGTCACATTCTTTTTCCATGTGAGAAAAGGATTACCTTAATTACTAGTGTTAATTAATCGGAATTCACATTTACAATTAATTCAATTTATGACAACTAGTAGTTGAACTTGATGTGAAAATTAAATATACTATAGCCAATCACAGTACATAATAAATGTTGTATTCACAAAGATTTTAAATGTTCACTATTAATCTTGATTACATTAATAAATGTGTAACTTGTGTCAATCCATACAATGATCGTTTTATTTCTGGCAATTGCTGAGGTACTATTATTCTTCTTCTTTTTGCTTAATACCCTTTAGATTTCGCCAGTATCGAGTTTTCCGCTTAGTAATTTTAAGGGCTTCTGTAGACTCTGCTATTCAATGAGTATTGTGAGAGCACAATGTGCTATAAAAAATCCTTTCTTATTAGGTTTTAAAGTTGCAGAGCTGTTGGATTACCTGAAAAGGACGGTGAACAATATATATAGACAAATGTTAGTAGGTAAGTGTGTTAGGCAGGATGAACAAATTATAAATGTATGTTATTGCTAGTTATATAATCACAAAGGACATTGATGCAAGACGTATCCACAAGACTTAAAATCGTATTGAATTTGTGGGTTTGAAAATGAATGAGGGAAGGACATCGTACAAGGAGATTGGGTACTTGTTACAATTGAAGAAAATGTGCCCAGAGTTCCTTCATCCAAGCGAGCTGTCCCTTACACTAATTTTAACTAAGTGAACTGGGGTGCTCGAGTGGCCGACCCTTAATCTACATATGATGGAGGTGCAAGATTTGGATGCTTCGTTAAATTTAAAGAACCATGGTTTACTCGGGATGACATTTTGAATATTCGCATAATGCTTTCCTTTCACTTTGGTACTCTCTTTCCATTCGACTTCCCAGGTGGACATCATCTTTTGAGTTGCCAGTAAGGGCAAGTCATGAGAGAATACTTGAGAGTAAGTAGGACATCCAATTTCAGTGGCATCTTTTGCCATCAGGTCAACGGTCTCGTTACCTACTATACCAGATTTCCTTGACTGAAGCAACTGTATAGCACATTTCTAATTTTTAAGACAGGGAAAGTTGGATCTGTTACGAAAAGGATTCACCAACGCAGCACCAACACATCCTTCATCTGACATTTTAGAAGCATCAGTGTACATCACAAGCCAATCGCTCCAATTCTTATTGATGTATTTTAGTAATTGAGCTTCAGAGTTAGAGGAATTTTTGTAGCAGTAGTATTATTTAGCCGGGTTGATAGATAAGAGCGAGATAAGGTATATCGAAGAGAGGGTTTAGGGTACACTGATATACTGAACAGGGGAGCCTGATGAATTTAATAAAACTAAGAAACAGACAGACGAGAACCAGTCTAGTAATTAATAATAATATGGGGTGTGTTCCTTGCACGGGAAAAAACTACTGCATAGTAATGCACCGACAGCAAAAGGCCGTGGTCGGTTAGCCAGGTATGGAGGTAGTTTAGAGCAGAATTGAGGTGGGCAGAGATATTTTCGATGTTGTTATTCCAAAAATGTATAAGGCCAAGTCGTCATCATACTGGAGGACGTTGCAAAATGGGTTAAGAGACTGCTCGAGGTCACATGTGTAGAGGCTATAAAGCAAGGGACTAAGAACGGATCCCTGTGGAAGGCCTCTCCAGATAGTTCTTGGTGGTAAAAGGAGTTGTTAACACTGACTTGAATTGAACGGGCAGAGAGGAGATTAAAAATTATATTGATAAGCTTCACAGGTATACTCAGATTCAGCATCTTTTGCCTGAGTCCTGGAAGCAATACATTGTCATACGCTGATGACACATCCAAAAAAACTCCAACTACATGTTCTCGTTTAGACAAGGCAATCCAAATGTCTGTCAGAAGAATACTGAGGCTATCCATGGTGCTCATGCCCTTCCGGAAACCATATTGACTTTTAGCGAGTAAACCCCTACTTTCAACTATCCACTCAAGGCGATTTTTAATGAGATGTTCTAAGACTTTGGCTAGCGTGCAGGAAAGAGCAATGGGTCTATATCCATTAGGGTCATTATTAAGTTTACCTGGTTTTAATATGGGTATAATGATTTGGACTTTCCATTCATCCGGAGGAACTCCCGTCAGAAATATGTTATTAAGAATATTAACGAATAAGTCTTTGGTTGAATCACTGCTGTTAATGATAAAACAGTATGGTATACCATCAATTCCAGAGGCAGAATCCTTGAGACCGTTTAACACTGTCGAGAGTTCCTCCCGAGAGAAAGGGGAGTCAAAAACTGAGGTTGGAGATAGAGTAGGGGACGTGGACAAAGTTACCTCGTCTTCCGTGGGGACTGAGAGAGGAGCCAGTTTGTTTTGAAATTGTTCAAGCCACTCTTAGGTATAATTACTAGAGATATTACCGGAACAGGATATACAGCCCCTAAATCTCCTGACATTCCTCCAAACCAAGGAAGAATGAGATCATGGAGAGAGAGTTTCACAAAATCTACGCCACCCAACTCTTTTTTTTTCACTCAGTACTCTTACAGCTTTTGCTGCAGCCGCAGGGTATTTTATAAAAAGGGATTCAGTCATTGTTAGTGCGTATGCGCATTCTGCTGTTTTCCTATCCTTGCAGACTTCAGTGCATTCCGAATCCCACCAAGGTGGAGATGGGGAGTTACCCTTGAATAGATTTTTGGTGGGGAGACATTTATCTGCTGATGACAGCAGACAATTTCTAAAATCGGCATAGACTGAGCGAAAGTTTTCAAGATCAGTCACAGGTAGGTGTTGCGTTTCCTGGTCTAAGGACTAAGGGAAGCGACAATATCCGAAAACTCTGCAAGGCATGTAAGGTTATTAGGGTGAGGAATGTAAACCGACAGAAACGTTATCTTTAGCAATTTGGCAGCAACTGCATTAATGTGTTCGCTATGAGGGGGAAGGGAAATCTGCAAAAAGGTTACGACTCTTGACACTAGGAGTGCCGAGCCTCCTTGCCCGTCTGTCCTGTCATCGCGGAGACACGTAAAACCTGGAAACCGTACTCGATCTCCTGGTTTACGTCGCATCTCCTGGACTGCGAAAACGTCAGGAGAGTATTTATTAAGTAGGAATTGAATTTCGTTTTCGTTATTCCTGCTGCTGCGACAGTTCCACTGAAGAATGGGAGCCAGGAGGTGAGGTGAATGAGCTGAGACAGTTGATTTTGAGGTTGTTCGGTAGGGGAACTACACTAAAACGCCCTAAGAGATTAATGATGGTCGAGAGGAGAAGAGAAATTAAATTATCGTTAGGTATTGACGAGTTATTTGGGAGTGCACATACATTTCCTAGTTGAGAACTACGAGACATAACTATGTCTCTATGAACTTGTTGATTATACCCTGGACTAGAAGCTGGGAGGGGTTGGTGCCTGGGAATAGCTACTGTTTTGTGGTAGGAAGTGTATTGGGGAGATCTGAGTTGGGGAGATGGATTGGAGGGAGAAGTATACAGAGTGGTGGGTGTAGGTTGATATTCATTTAAATCAAACATCGCTGTGTCAGTAAAAGATCTTCGCACTTGGGTGAATCTGGCAGATACTTCAGAGTAAGAGATATTTTCTTGGGACATGACCAGTTTTATTTGTTTTTGCCTTGATTGCTCAGGGCAAGAGGGATCGGTGACTTTACGACGTCCAGAGCAGTGTAAACAGGTTGGTGTTTCCTTGGTGCAATGTAGGCCGTCATGAGTTTGTGCACAAATAAAGCAGCGAGCCTCCGATCTGCATTGAGTTTGGATGTGTCCAAAACGGGCAGCACTTATTGCACTGAATTGTGGGAAGGGAATAAGTTTCCACTGGGAGAGAGGTGAAAAAACAGTACACATGGGAGAGAAGTTTTTGACCTAAGGAGGTTAGTACCACTGTTTGGGTGGGAACCCATATAGGTGACCCATTACTGTCATTGGTTTTCCTATTAAGTCTTCGTGCCTTAACAATAGAGCCATAACCAGTTGGAACTTCCACTGCTTCAACTAATTCCTCCAGTATTCATTCAACTGGAAGTTCTCGGACAATACCCATTCTAGTTATGCTGTAACTTGGGATAATCGCTTCATATTTGGCTGGAGAAAGAGCTGGGTGGTCAAGGAAAGCATTAGCATCACTGAAAGTTTTGAATTCAAGGGATATTCTATTTCTGCCAACACGTTTGATACCATTTCTGACAATATTTTTAATATTGTTCCTAAACAAAAAATGGGGCGTAATGCGGTGCCGGAAGAGGGATCCGATACTGTTTTGCTCACATGTATAATGAATGGGGCGATATCTTGTGCCAGGGCGATATTTGTTTTTGTTGTTTAACACAAAATACCACAAAGCACCCCCAAATACCTCGAAAACGATACCCAACTTGCCATTATTTGAAAAATCGTGCCCGCCATCTTGGATTTTCAAATAGTGCCATATTCACATTGTGCATCCCCAAATACCTCGAAAATGATACCCATATATATAATTGTAAATCAATGCCCATATAGCATTTTTTTGAAAAATCGTGCCCGACATCTTGGATTTCGAAATGAGTGCCATATTCGTAATGAGCACCTCGAATACCTCGAAAATGACTCCCATATTACATTTATTTGAAAAGTCGTGTCCATCATTGTGTATTCAGATATAAATGCCATTTCCATAAGGATTACCAAAAATAAATTTTTGAAAATTCTTGTCACTTGACATTATCGATTGACAGTAACGATCGACAAAACCGAGCATATCTGTAGGCACCTGATCGACATTGTCGATCGACAGTAACGATCGACAAAATCGAGCACATCTGTAGGCACCTGATCGACAATGTCGGGCAAATCTGTAGGCACCTTTAAGTTAATGATGAGTTAAGCAAGATACAATTTTCCCACTTTTGAGGGAAATGTTATTCCATGGCATCATTATTTGTATATTTGTGTGCGTGCCGACGAGCGTAGATACAAGTTGCTTATGCCTACATGAATTTGGTTTTTGCCTCACTTGTGGCAGTTCGTTTGATATGAAGCTATCATTCTATGTGATAGAGTATTCTCTTCGCAAGCTCTGCGGAAACATGCAGTTTATGGAGCTCTCCATCTGAAACCCATAAATAAATTTAAAGTAGCCATTACTTTTATTATTTTATTT